GCACGCACGCACACGCGCCCGGCGTGAGTTTAAGCCACCGGGTCCAGGACTTGAACCGTGGTCGACTACATGGGAGTCCAGCGACATAGCCATTACGCCAACTGCTGGTCCCAACAAATGCACGTTCTTGACACATAGCTGTGGCTCATGACATTGCGAGTACAGTTAGTAATATTACCGACAGACAGACATCTCAAGGGTTAAGCACGAGGGGTCTGAAATCAGCCTGCCTGGATTCCAGTCGTGCTCGCGTGGCCATGTGTCTTGAACAAGTCACTTAACCTTTCTGTGCCTCCATTTTTAAACTCTAATAGGGAGTAACACTAAAGGTTGAGTATCCCTTGTCTGAAATGCTGGGGCCCAGAAGTGTTTCGGATTTGAATTTTTTCATATTTTGGAATATTTTCATATATAGAATGAGGTATTGTGGGAACGGTGCCCAAGACTAAATACGAGTTTCCCTTCTGATTCATATGCACCTTCTACACAACCCACGGTTGTATGCAGTGTTCTCCATCGTGTTAGAAGAGCCGTCCCGTTACACATAACCCACGGTTGTATGCAGTGTTTTACATCATGTTAGAAGAGCTGTCCCGTTACACACAACCCACGGTTTCATGCAGTGTTTTCCATCGTGTTAGAAGAGCCGTCTCGTTACACATAACCCACGGTTTCATGCAGTGTTTTCCATCGTGTTAGAAGAGCCGTCTCGTTACACATAACCCACGGTTTCATGCAGTGTTTTCCATCGTGTTAGAAGAGCCGTCCCGTGAGGTCAGGTGGAAACTCACCCGCGGCATCCTGTTTGAGGTTTGGAAGCTTTTCAGACTGCCACGCTAGGGATGCTCAAACGGCAGACCGGCTCTCGGGACTCTCCGAGGCACTAACTGCACTGTGCACTAGGCCGGGGGCCTGCTGGTTAAGGCGGCTGGATCCCACATGGCTTATCATGCAGTTTGAGTCCTGGGCCCGACGGCTCAAGCAGCACACTGGGTTGTGTGCATGTGAGCCCAAATCCTGCAAGGATGGAGGGGAGGAGAAGGGGCTGTGGCCTGACCATCCCCCAGGGGGTGCTCTCTCATTCTCTCTCTCCTCAAGTGCACACATCCCTGGTCAACTAAAAACTATTTACATATAGAACACAGCATTGATTGTACAACATTCAGAACAGCGCCTGGCCCGCGTAAGTGTTTCAGTGGGGACGAGCTGGTTTGTAGCTTGACGGGGTTACACAAACCCACCTGAGCTGTCGAGGGCCTCCGGAACTGAGGAGCACAGGCCAGGGCCTGGAGGGACCACATCCGCTCTCTCGTACCTCTGGAGGGTAGGGCTCAGAGGTCATGGTGTCAGCAGGGCGGGGTTCTCCAGGCCCCTCTCCTTGGCTTGCAGAGTCCTCACCACTCCTCCCTGTGTGTGTGCGTGTCTATGTCTTAAGCTCCCCTTTCTCCCAGTCATGTTCGATGAGGGCCCGCCCGACTGGCCTCACCGTAACGGAATTACTGCTTTGGAGATGCTGTTTTCAAAACCAGCCACACCTTAGGTGCTGGGATTAAGAGCTTCAACGCGGTAATTTGGGGGGACCCTCTTTAGCCCATCCCTCTGCCAGGTGATAACACTCAGGTTCAG